TCCCCGACAGCGAGAAAACCCCTTTATTTTCCTGATTTTTCTATTTTGAAGGTGATGCAGGAGCTATCCCCGGAGCAGCAAAGCTTACCTGCCCTGTGTCCCGAAAGGGACCCTCAGTTTCGGGGTGTGTGGGGCAGCGAGGCCCGGGGGGGACGCCGGTCCCGTGCCGAGACCGTGGCTGCCGCCCACCGCGCTGCCCCGCGCCCCAGCGCTCATTTTCTCTCTTACCCAAAGGCGCTTTTCCGTTTGCGGGTTACACTCAACTGCCGGTGCTCACACGTTTCCTGTTTGCCACGTCGCAAGCGGGGGGCGGGAAGGGCCCATCCGGAGGGCCCGCGTCCCCCCCAGAACCCCCTCCCAGATCCCAAAACAGCTCTGCAAAGGCATCGGAGGAACCGCAGCAGAAGGCCCCATCCTTCCCAAGGCTGGAGGGGGTTTGGGGCCGGGGAGAAGCATCGGAGAAACAGCAAATCTTATTTTAAGAGTCTGGATAACCCAAACTACACCATTACGTATAACCCACAGGTTACAACATCCTTCCAAAGATGGAATAAACCTGAACCCCACCCCCTGCAGAGGCTTTTTGGCCCCAGGATGTGGAGATCTCCGCTGTGCTACTCATGGGTTTGGTTTTTAGGGCTCCTGCCTGAATTATTAACTCGGCTTCAGAGCTGGCACCAAACCCGCCGGCTGAGCCGCTCCGGTCCACGAGAAGGTTGGGGAACCAGATGGGTCATGTGCGTGTTTGCTCCGCTCCGACTGCGAAACTGGAAAAGATCCTGAGCAAAACCAGCTTAAAATAATAACACGGGGAAACACCAACTATTATCGTTGGGTTTTAACTGGAATTAACACCCCCTGGCTCACAGCGTGGGCCGGAGCCCAGGCTCCCGGGGCAGGAACCGTGGGATGGGGGCTGGTCCCTGCCTGTTTCCCCATCCGAGCTGGTTGAATCACTTGCAGGGAACCGGCCACGCAGGTGCCCACACCCATCACACCCACCGAGCCACAGCCCAGCACTGCTTGTTTGCCGTCTAACCTAACGAAGCAGCAGCCAGCTCAGGTCGTAGGCCAATTCAGGGCTTTCCCTGAGGATGCTTTTGGGAGAGGAAATCCGAATTATCCCTGGGAGAGCTCGTTGATCCCTGCCCTCTGCCCAGCAAGACTCCAGCTGCAGAGCCCTGCACTGGGGTTGGCACTGCAGGAGAGCACAATCCAGCCCCACAGCACCAATGGTCCTTCCAGCCCCGAGGAGATGCCGGGCAGGTCTCAACAAAAGGGGATTGAATCCAATGGGGAAAGGAGGGGAAGCACCACTTGGCTGTTGTGGCAGTTCAAACCCCGGCATCCTCGCTCTGTGCTTGAGGCTGGGATGGAAGAGCAGCAAAACTGGGCTGAAAATGCCAAGTTTCTGTCTGTTCCTTCAGCTGCTGGAAGCTCATCACCATTTTGTGGCCCCAAGGTTGGGAGGGGTCACTTGTCACGTTAACCATAACTTGAGCTCACGGCCTGCAGGTGAGTCTTGCTCAGTCCTGGGAGGAAGCAGCAGATGGTGGAGGCATCCCTGACTCCCAGGGAATCTCAGCCTGGGCATCCAGCAGCTCCAATCTCAGTCCCACCCGAGACTTGCCACTAAGACATACTCTTAGATGTCCCTGTCCCACAACATGGGTCACCCTCACCAGCCTGGGCACCTGAGACCCCTTGGAAGGACTGGGGACACAACCAGCTTGCCCACAGCTAATGGGGACACAGCAGTGGCACCAATCCTGCACCCAGGCCCACAGCAGAAGGATGTCCCAAGGGAAGGGGGGTATGGGGTGGTGGTGAGGTTTTGCCCCTCTCAATCCTCACCCAGCTCCCCACTTTGATGTTCCATGCCACAGAGGAGTCACCCAGAGCTGCCACATCCCCTTTCCCACAGCCACTTGGGTGCAAAGCACCAATTCCCTCATACGAGCCAAGTGTTTATTCAGGGTTAACATTTAATGGACAAACAGGTATTTCCCCTTCTCCCCCCCCACATAGACTTAATAACATTTATATTTTTTTCCTTATAAATAAACATTTAGTGCTGGGAGCTTGCCAGCTTCACCGACAGCAAAGTGCATCACGGTGCAAGGCAGGAGGTCAACTCCATCCCTTTTCTGCCTGGGAACATCTTGCACCAGTTTCCAGAGCCCAAATCCAGCAGAGCAGGAGATGAACCCTCCAAGAAAGTGCTGAGACCTGACAGTGTTGAGCCTTCCAAGAGCAGGGACTCATCCTTCAGCACTGGGGACTGAGCACCCTTCACTCCAGGACATCCCTTGGTGACCCCATCCCAGAGACGACCAAAGCCCCTTGCTCTGCAGAGCCAAGTGAGGGCCTTCTCTCTCCCCCCACCCCCAAAGGAGACATAAGCCCAGGAAAAAAAGCTACAATTTCATCTTTCAGCATCGCCCTTGCTGGTGAGCACGACTCCTTCCTAGAGCAGTCCATCATGACCAATGCAGGCAGGTCCCCAGCCCAGGGTCAGCACTGAATGAGGCAGGAACAGGAGGGCCAACAGCACCACTCAAGCCCAAAACAGGGAAAGTAGTGGAGTTTTGGGTCAACAGAGTCCAGGGTAGCCCCAAAGCCTCCCAGGCAGCATTGGTCCCACAATGAGCTCAGGGCTGAGGACCTCTAGCAGGCTTGTCATCATCTGCAGCCCGTCTGCAACGGGTGACAGCACCATGAGTCACCCGAAGGAAGGGCTGGCCAGGGAAACAGCATTTCCTCTCCCAAGCAGCCGTGGGAAGGAGCAGCCCCCACATCACTCCACTTCCATGCGTGGATGAGGGCTTGCCACCACTGGGTCCATCCTCATGGGAAGAGGGCCACCACCATGTGCCAGCAACCGGGGTGTCCTCGGGGTCAGGCTGTCCCAGGGCTCTATGATCCACATGGGTTACCCTCTCTTAAGGATATCTGATGCCACCAGGTGGCTGGGACACAAGTGTGTTCCATGGCCGGCCCACAGGCAGGGGGAAGACCACAGCTGGACAGCAGGATGGTGCAAGGACGATGCTTGGCCTCACCAAAGCAGGGCAGAGGACACACACTTTCTTCTCCACAGACAGGGCAATGCTTTTGTCCCACCAGATCCGTTTCAGTCCTCCTCCATCCCCTCTGTGGGGCTACTCCTATACATTGCACACAGTGAAGGTCCCTCAAGACCCCAGAGCTACTCATAAATAGGGAACTACAGACTCTACATTGCTTCACACAGACAGCTCACAGTACAGGGTGGGGGAGAAGAGCAATGGACACCCCCAGGGCACGTCAGCATCGGCAGCTGTCCCTGATGCCAGAAGAGCTGAGCACCACCGGGTCACGGCTTGGGCTTGTCAGGCTTGGGCTTGTCAGGGACGATCCTCCTCTTGGAGCTGTAGTAGTCTGGAAGACAGAAAGAGAGGGTTGGAAAGTGCCTCCAGCCCACCAGGAGCACTGGGGCAGGAGGTGTCCCCAGGGAAGCACCCCAAAACCCAGCCAAGGTGGACTCTGTTTTAGAGCCACTCATCCAAAGCCATGCGTTCCTGGAGAGAGGAGCCTGTAGGTCTCCACCATCTCCTTCTGCAAGTCTCACCTCCATTTCCACCCCAGCCCTTGATCTCAGAGGACAGGCTCAGGCCATGGGAACTGAGGATGACCAACTATTTTGGGGTATCTTCAGCTACAAGACCCACCAGCCTGATGCGAGGCCCCTGTCTAACTCCCAGCAACCAGAAGGCACCCAGTTTGCAGCCTTTTCCCCTTGGAAGATGGGCTCTGCTCTCCCAGGACAGAGATGCATGGAGGGTGGTCCCCTCACCATGCCCAGGAGCCAGACAGGGTTCTTGCTCCCAAGTCTCCTCCATCTGTCCCTACCAGGAAAGCAGTGACACCAGCAATGCCACCAAGCATCTGTGGAGTGACACCAAGCCTCCAGCACTCACCTTTGATGGTGGTTTGCCCACGTTTCAAGCTCTGTGGGGAACCAGCCCTGTAACTCTCTGAGCTCTGCTGGGACCCGTCGGGGCAAATCCTGCCAAGATGATCCTTGGAGGGGACCTTGTGGACCAAGGAGCTCCTGCTCTCACTGCCAGTGGCCTCGACCAGACTGTGGACTTCCTGGGGTAGCTGCTCAGCCAGGAAGACCCTCTCCCACTTGAAATGTCCTTCCAAGGGAGTCTCCGTCTCAAAGTCGAAGTTCCAGCGCTGCTGAGCTTCTTCCAGCTGTTGCCTCAATAGGTCCTCAAAGTCATTCTGGAGCTGGTGGTGGTCCACAGGGCCAAAGAGGTTCCTGCACACCTTGCTGCTGCATGGCATCTGCCCAGCCCTGCTCTGAGACAGGGGCATCGTGGCAGCTGGAAGGAAAACAGAGCAAGTTACAGGGGTGCTGGGCAAGCCCCAAGCAAGCCCAAGGGCCAGCACATTTGCTACCAGAGCAAAACACACAGTAGCCAAGGTGGGACAAGCTGGGTTGGGCTCTGCAATGAGGCAGGGCGGAGGGGACCTCCATCTGCCAGTGCTCGTCTGGGGCTCAGACATCTGGGATTTTAGTGGTGTTTTGGGTAGAGGCTTGAGCGTGACCAAGGTCAAACACAGCCTGGCACGATGCAGAAGGACAGGGAAGGTGTAAATGTTGACGTTCCCCATTCCTCCTCCAGCAGGTAAAGCCCTGCCAGAGCAGAGCATCCAACACCTGGATGCTGCCACCGTCTCCATCCACAACCCAGCTGCACTCCTGCTTCCACAGAGGCACAAGGGCAACTGAAGCAACAGGATGTTTTTCTGGCCAGTTTCCTCATCTCAAGAACCCAGGCCCAGTGGCAAGGAAGCCTTTTAAGCAACTGCAAGAGCATGCCACGAGCTTGACCGCTTTGTTAACCAACCACCCTCCCTCATCTGTAAGAAGCTGTTGGGCAACCAGAGCCAAGACCTTGTTTGTTCAGGTTTTTTTTTCAAATCGGTGCCCAAACCCTTGCCTTCCACAGTAAGCAGCAAAGCTTTTCCTTCCGAGCCATCCTCACCCAGACCCACGCGTGGGGCTAATGGATCCCTCGTGCCACCCACAGTTACGAGGAACCTCGTTATCAGGGCAAAGCAACCAACACTCTGGGATTTGATGGCTTTCGGAGCCAAGGCTTGACCCCGCTTGGACAGCCGTGCTCACCAAAGCTGCTTTAGCATTTCACACAAATAAAATCCTTGGGTGCAAGACAGCTTTGTCGTGACCCACCCAATCTGGGACCCCCAAAGCCAAGACCACAACAGGTCTCCAGGCTTGCCCTCAAAATTCCCCAGGGATAGGGTGCTCAGCCTCCTACAAGGAGGATTTCTGTCCAAATTCAGCACCCCCATCCCCTCTGGGTCACTTCTGCCCCATTACCAGGCAGGTGACCGGCATGGCATGCCAGCAAGCAGCTGGTGGGGCCACCCTGACCCTCTGCCTGGACCTACTCCGAACCCAGACTGAGCATCCCCGAATAAAAATAGAAATCCAGCTTCCTATCTCCGGGCAGTCAGAGCGCATAAACAGGGTGACCTCATGGCGAGGCAAGTCCCAGCATGTCCAGGCAAGCCCTGGCAGGTAGGGGACACGTCTCGACACCCTGACCGGGCACCCTCCGGCCTTCCTCACCCATGTCAGGCACCCGATCTCCCCATCCTCAGGCCACCGCCAGGGCCCGGGTGCCACCCCGGAGCCCCACGCCCTGAGATAACAGCTTCGCCCTGACTCACGGCTCCAGATTACCGGAGCCACCAGGTAGGGAATGCCCAGGGCCAGGTCGCCGTCCCCTCCCGTGGGGCTGGGGGTGCTTTTAGCAGCCCCTCCGAAGCAAGAGCTTCAAGGTTTCCTGCCCAGCTGGAGAACCCCAAGAGTGGGGCACAGAGGCAATGCAGGTGCACAGCTGCATCAAAGCCTCACCCAGGCGGGCTGGGAGATGAAGGCACTCCCGGGGACACACACACACCTGTAACACCCAGGACCAGTTACACCAGTTGGGAGAAGGCTTGGGGAGCAGGA